CAATAGCACTGTGCTCTTTTATTTTTTTCATTTGTTTTTATTTTAAACTCAAAACCAGTTTTCATCTTTCACCAAATCACACACACACACAAAAGAATAAAATAAGTGAATGCTCAGTCAAAAGGCCGAGTGGTCCTTAAAGAAATCCATGTCGCTTCCAGCCTTTTGGGTTTAAAATTAAGATTTAGATTTTGGTCAAACCTTGAAACTAACATGATGCAGCACGACGTCACTCTCTGAGTATGTGATATGAACGACTACTAGCCTGTCAAATTTTAGCTCAATATCTGTAAAACTGACTCAGTTCTGGTCATTGTTGAGTTGGCCAACTAGATGTAGCGGCCATCTTGAATTGGATCAACTCCAAAAATTATTAATTTGTAGATGTCCATTCAAGTATCATTTAAAATAAAATAAAATAAAAATCCATCCTGTGGTTTATTAGCTATTTAGCTAACAGACAGATAGTGTTAACTTCAATAGTTAACAGCTATTTTTAAAACAAAGATCTTGCATGATTTGTTCATTCTTTAAGTATATATTTGGAATGAGTCTCAGCTGCTACCACACCAGACAAGAGCTGAATATCACAACAGATGCCTGACTTACTGCTATTTTTGGGTTTCCCAATTTTGATTAGCTATAGCCATCAAAGTAAATTGGATCAACTCCAAAAGTTAATCAATTATAGAAGTCAATTAAATAATTACTTCTAGTAATTTTTTTTCAAATGTTTCACATGGGTAATGAGATATTTTGCTAACAGAAAAACATTATGGCACGCCTTTCAGCAATAGATTACTATAACATTCTACATGCAACGCAAGCTGAGAATAACTGAAAAAGAAAATGCTACAAAGAATCACTCACATCAGAAACATGAAGGCAGAGCCCCACAAATATTTTTTAAACTCTGGCTTTGATACATTCTGTAAATTACTGCCTGGCCCCTCAGAAAAAAAAAAGATCAATATCTTATTTCTCAGCCCTATGGCAGATTTCGAAGAGGCTTCAGTCAAACAGCTAATACATTGTGCCAATAGGATTTATTTTTCCAATCAAAAAAAAAAGGCAGCAACCAAGATCTCAGGTGTTTTTCCTCATTCTTGTTTTCTCTAATCATTTTTTTCCTTTTTACTTTACCAAAAACACCATCTGGCTGCAGCTCTTATTAGAGATAATTAAAGACAGAATAAAAATCAGAGTTAAGAACCTGAGATGAAACTTGTCATTTCATGCTTGTGCCTTTTCTTTGTTTCATCCCAAACCAGAGACATCAAGCCTTGTTCTAAACACCACAGTTTGAATAAAGCTACACGATTTTAATAATTTCATAAATAAACAACATTTCCCCCCTCTTACTTTAATATTTTTAGATTAAAAACAACGAATCCAATCTGCTTTTTAAAATATTCCAAGACAGAACATGTTTTTGTGCTCTTTGGTTTTATGCACCACATTCACAAGACTGGTTAATATTTAAAAAGGGGGGAGGGGGTGTTGAACATGGTTGTAGAATTTTAGAGGTTTTTCCGAGGGAAAATGTCTTCACATTTTAACTTTACGTGCTAAGAAATACCCCCCCCCCCCCCACTTATAAACATGATTCCTGTGTCTCCTGTCGTTTTGCTTTCATCAACACACCTGTTAAACAGACCTGCAGCTTGGGTCAGAAAAATCCAAAAGGAGTCAAGAATATAAACACACACTTTTTTTTTTTAACTTCAATCCATGTAAAACACACAACCCCAAATTATTTTCATATATGAGACGAGCTGGTCAGGAGAATTAAGCAACAAAAGCTTAAATTAAAAACTTAAATATGACTAAATATACATCTGGATTTCATTATTAACGTATCTGATACAAGATAAAATATTAAACACATATTATACTGGTACAAATATGAATTTATTTTCATCTGTTCATAACAACCTGGTTCCTCATTAGTTTGTGCACTTCAAGTTGACGTTGTGTAACGAGATATTACTTTACTGCAGGGCCATTCAACTGGCAGCCTGCAGGTAACTTCAGTCCAACCCTCCATTAAAAATGATACATACATACATTTATATTTTACATTCATATTTATATATATTTTTATTTTTATTTATACGTACATTTATATTTATATAGATTTTATGTTTCATATAATCTAAAATAGATTTTAAATCTATTTTATTGTAAAATTTACAAGTAAATGCAGCAAAATTATTTTTAAGCTGTCAAATATTATCTTTTACCTTTCAAATTGAAAGGTAAAATATAATATTTGTACTTTTACATAATGCATTGTTTCCCCTACCATTATTGGGCAATGCCCAGCTGGATGTCCCGCCCCTGACCTGTTCAGCTGCCATAGAGTTATATAAGACAACTAGAGTGTGCACTGCTTACATGACTCTGTGATTCAGTGTAGCATTTCAGCCATTAGCATCAAGGGCTAACATCTGTACTGTGTTTTAGTTAATACTGGCTGAGTAAAGTCTGATTATGTAAAAAATATCTAAATACGTTGTTTTTGTTTACATTCTACACAACGTCCCAGTGTCTTTGGATTTGAGGTTGTAGGACGTGACTGGAAAGCCTCCAGAGACATACAGGAGGCTCAGCCAGTTCGTTTCAGCAATGCTCTCCAATGTGCTACTTACACCACAACAAAAAGTTTAAAAAGTGATGAAAACGTGTTCCTTTTTCTTTCTTCCTTTTAATAAATGGCTCTCAACCCCTGAGGTTTTTCCAAGCAAAAGCGCGGGGATCAGTTTTCTCCACAGCGATCTCAGTTTTCCTCATCTGATCTATAACTCATTTACACGCAGACACGCTCATAAACAAATATCACCAGGTTGGGGGGGGGGGCATGCAAACAAACTGCAATAGTTTTCCAGCAGCATAAATCAAACAGGCCTCTGACCAGGACTTCGAAATGGAGAAGGGTGTCATGTACACAGGCAGGTTCAGTGACCTTAAGCTGTGCTGCTGCTGATGTTTTAGGGGTAAAAAGAAAAACGTAAAGCAGAACATTTTTATTTTCCCACTGGGAATTTTTTTTTTTTTAAATTTCATGAAAACGTTACGAGTGAATGTCTAAGATGTACAATAAAATTTGGGGCCCAGGTGTTTATGGCAAATACAAATGTAATATTGTTGCTCT